TTGCTTGCTTTTCTATTAAATTAATTACGTTTTGTTTCGATTTTTTGGCTTGTCGGTTTATAGTTAGGTGTTGAAAATTTGGGCTTAGGGAGTAGGGATTTGAGATTAGGGATTAAAGATTAGGGCTTTAGAAATTAGGGATTAGGGGTTTGGGGTTAGGGATTTGGGTTTATTGTTCTTTAGTTTCTTTTGCTCTATTTTCTCATCATTCTTATCCTATTTTTTACTTTTATTGCCTTTGTTAAGTTTTGAATTTTTATTTTTATGTGCGTAGCTAATCTTATGTATACTTTGATTTCAGTTGTTAACGGAATGGACGAGATAAGCTTCAAAGCGGAGTTTAGGAGCGAAAATTTAAGTATATCTATTTGTGCAAATTTGTTTGATTTTCTTTTACATGTGAAATGTATTTTACACATAACTATTTCTACATCCTCTTGTGTTTCTTACTTGTTATGATCATTGTTTCTATTATTTTCAATTTAGGACAGTGTCATTAACCCACTATTTGCTTTTCATTTTTCGTATTGTTTTCATATTTTGCACAACCTATAATTGCATAACATTTTTTGGTTATTTGTGGTTTAGTTGCTTTTCTATTAGATAAATTATGTTTTATTTCTATTTTTTGGGTTTTTGGTTTATTGTTAAGGGTTGGGGATTAGGGCTTAGGGAGTGGGATTTAGAATTAGGGATTAGGAATTAGGACTTTTGAGGTTAGGGATTCGGGATTACGGATTTGAGATTACGGATTACGGATTAGGAGCTAGGGGTAAGGGATTTGGATTTATTGTTCTTTTTCTTTTTTTGCTCCACCTGCTCATCATTCTTTGTTGGGATTTAACACGATTTAAATCCACTAACAAACACATAAGGATTATAGTTTTAAAAATTAGGGTTTAGGGATTAGGGATTAGAGATTTGGGGTTATTGTTCTTTACCTTTTTTTGCTCTACTTTCTCATTATTCTTATCGTATTTTTTACTTTTATTGTTTTTGTTATGTTTAGGATTTTCATTTTTATGTGCGTAACTAATCTAATCTGTATTTTGATTTTAGTTGTTAGGGGAATGGACGATATAAGTTTGAAAGCGGAGTTTAGAAGCGAAAAGATAAGTATATCTATTTGTGCAAATTTAATTGACTTTCTTTTACATCTGAAATGTGTTTTATAAATGATTATTTCTACATCTTCTTGTGTTTCTTTATTGTTATGATCATTGTTTCAATTATTTTTAATTCCCAACACTCTCATTATCTCACAATAATTGTATAGCATTTCTTTGATTATATATGTTTTGTTTGCTTTTTTATTAGATTAATTATATTTTATTTCATTTTTTTGGCTTGTCGGTTTATAGTTAAGAGGTTGAGAATTAGGGTTTAGAGAGTAAGAATTTGAGATTAGAGATTAGGGATTAGGGATTAGAACTTTAAAAATTAGGAATTAAGGATTACGAATTAGGGGTTAGGGATTAGGGATTTGAGTTTATTGTTCTTTTAATTCTTTTGCTCCAACTCCTCATCATTCTTATCTTATTTTTTACTTTTATTGTTATNGGGTTTATTGTTCTTTTGATTCTTTTGCTCCAACTCCTCATCATTCTTATCTTATTTTTTACTTTTATTGTTATTGTTATGTTTTGAATTTTTTATTTTTATGTGCGTAACTAATCTAATGTGTACTTTGATTTCAGTTGTTAGTTGAATGGACGAGATATGTTTAAAGCGAAGTTTAGGAGCGAAAAGATAAGTATATCTATTTGGACAAATTTGATTGACTTTCTTTTACCTGTGAAATGTATTTTACACAACCATTTCTACATCCTCTTGTGTTTCTTACTTGTTATGATCATTGTTTCTATTATTTTCCATTCCGGACACTCTCATTGACCCACTATTTGCTTTTCATTTTTTGTTATTGTTTTCATATTTTGCCCAACCTATAATTGCGAAAAATTTCTTTGATTATTTGTGCTTTGTTTGGTTTTCTATTATATAAATTATGTTTTATTTCTTTTTTTTGGGTTGTTGGTTTATAATTGGGGGTTGGGGATTAGAGTTTAGGGAGTAGGATTTGGGATTAGGGATTCCGGATTAAGATTTAGGGATTAGGAATTAGGACTTTAGAGATTAGAGATTAGAGATTAGGGATTACAGATTAGGGGTTAGGGGTTAGAGATTTGGATTTTTTATTTTTTTGCTTCTTTTGCTCCACCTTCTCTTTATTTTTATCCTATTTTTTTATTATTTTATATTTTTTATGTTTTGGATTTTTATTTTTGTTTGCGTAACTAATCTAATGTGTATTTTGATTTCAGTTGTTAGTGGAATGAACGAGATAAGTTTGAAAACGGAGTTTAAGAACGAAAAGATAAGTATATCTATTTGTGCAAATTTGATTGACTTTTTTTTTCATGTGAAATGTGTTTTACAATTGGCTATTTCTACATCTTCTTGTGTTTCTTACTTTTTATGATCATTGTTTCTATTATTTTCAATTCTCAACACTCTCATTATCTCACTATAATTGCATAATATTTCTTTGTTTATATGTGCTTTGATTGCTTTTATATTTGATAAATTATGTTTTATTTCAATTTTTCTGCTTGTCGATTTATAGTTAGGGGTTGGGAATTTGAGCTTAGGGAGTAGGGATTTGAAATTAGGGATTAAGGATTAAGGATTAAGGCTTNGAATTTGAGCTTAGGGAGTAGGGATTTGAAATTAGGGATTAAGGATTAAGGATTAAGGCTTCAAAAAATAGGGATTAGGGAGTAGGGTTTTGAGGTTAGGGATTTGAGTTTATTGTTCTTTAGCTTCTTTTGCTCTACCTCCTTGTCATTCTCATCATATTTTTTACTTTTATTGTCTTTGTAATATTTTGAATTTTTGTTTCTATATGCGTAACTAATCTAATGTGTACTTTGATTTCAGCTGTTAGCGGAATGGACGAGATAAACTTGAAAGCGGAGTTTATGAGCGAAAAGATAAGTAGATCTATTTGTACAAATTTGATTGGCTTTCTTTTACATGTGAAATGTATTTTTCACATAACTATTTCTATATCCTCGTTTTTCTTACTTGTTATGATCATTGTTTCTATTATTTTCAATTCCGGACACTTTCATAAATCCACTATTTTTTTTTCATTTTTCATTATTGTTTTCGTGTTTTTCACAACCTATAATTGCCTAACATTTTTTTGATTATATGTGCTTTGTTTGTTATTTTATTTGATTAATTATCTTTAATTTCCTTTTTTTGGGTTGTCGATTTATAATTAGAGGTTGGGAATTAGGGCTTATGGGGTAGGACTTGAGATTAGGGATTAGGGATTAGGGATTAGGAATTAGGAATTAGAGATTAGGAATTACGGATTACAGATTTGGGGTTAGGTGTTAGAAATTTGAATTTTTTATTATTTTGCTTCTTTTGCTTCTTTTATTCCACCTTCTCATAGTTCTTATCCTATTTTTTTATTTTNTGTTTAATTTCCTTTTTTTGGGTTGTCGATTTATAATTAGAGGTTGGGAATTAGGGCTTATGTGGTAGGACTTGAGATTAGGGATTAGGGATTAGGAATTAGGAATTCAGAGATTAGGAATTACGGATTACGGATTTGGGGTTAGGTGTTAGAGATTTGAATTTTTTATTCTTTTGCTTCTTTTATTCCACCTTCTCATAGTTCTTATCCTATTTTTTTATTTTATTGTTTTTGTTATGTTTTGAATTTTCATTCTTTTGTGCGTAACTAATTTAATGTGTATTTTGATTTCAGTTGTTAATGCAATGGACGAGATAAGCTTGAAAATGGAGTTTAGTGATCAAACATATTTTTGTTTCAATATTTATCACAAAATAGAGACAAAAAATAATCTCTATTTTATATTATTTTAAAAATGCAAAAATGAAAACGTTACTGAATGAAACATTCGATATGGAAGGTCAAAGATTTCTNTCTAATGTGTATTTTGATTTCAATTGTTAGTGCAATGGACGAGATAAGCTTGAAAATGGAGTTTAGTGATCAAACATATTTTTGTTTCAATATTTATCACAAAATAGAGACAAAAATTAATCTCTATTTTATATTATTTTAAAAACGCAAAAATGAAAACGTTACTGAATGAAACATTCGATATGGAAGGTCAAAGATTTCTTCTCCTTTGCCGTATGGTCTAGTCTGGTACTCTTAGAGGACATGAGATGAGTAAGCCAGGGCAGAGACAGCCCTGTTCCAAGGTCTGCAAGTGACCCCTCAATTTTTTATTATTTTTATTACGTAGGTATATATATTATATATTGTATTATTTGTGCTCACCCAAAATTAAAGATAAAAATATTAATGTATACTTATATCAAATGAATAATTTTAATTATGTCATCCCTACTTTTTTTTTTTTGCACATCAATTAATGTATATTTATATCAAATAAATATGAATTTTTTTTGACACATTTTGGATTGGTTTTGTACCTATCTAAATAAATTTTGAATATACTAGAATTGTTTTATATTTTCTAAGACTTGATATTCAAATTCACTAGTTTACTTGTGATTTTGACATTTATTTTTGTTAATTATGGTAAAAAAAAATGGAGCACACATTAAACTGTATAAATCGATCAAATTATTTATAAATATCAAAGTGATAACATGATTATGTATCTAAAAAATAATAAAATTGTTATGCAACGTTTTAAAAGTACAAAAATTCACCGAAGTCAATTCTAATTAATTTTAATTAGTTAATATTTTGTAAAAAAAATGTTATCGTTTACATACACTAGGCTTACAAAATTTTGAAATGGTGGATTTAATAAAATTTTAAGTATTAAATAGGATGTAATTAAATAAATTATTGTCATATTTCTATCAATTGTAAGAAAAAAATAATAATTTGTTATAAATATTCGTGTGTAGTCTGACATAATTTTCTGATCGCCCTTTGAGCAAGTGAGTTATAAGGAAGCAAGAAATAGTTTACAAACATAAAGCAACAATACAAAAGCATCAAACATAAAATGTTTACATTTCATTCGAATAAACACAAGGTAAACGAAGCATAAAATAGTTTCCCCTACGGGCCACATGAACCACGACAAACGTTGACCAAACTCATCCACCCAAAGTGAATGATATTATTCTCAACTAACATAAAAGCACACCAAGCAATATAATAATAAACACGCTGTTACCAGACCTTGGAGCGTGGACTTAAAGTCACATCTTATTTGTCCATCGCCTTTATTCTCACACGAGTAGCTGAGCTTTCACTTCATCAACAGGACTAAGTCGTAAAATAATTGCAGCAAAACCACTGGGGCCCTCTGCCAAAAAAACGACACCTAGCGACGGAAGCTCCTGACCTGGCGTGGGGGATCACCCTCGTCTCCTCGAAGTTTCACGGCTGAGTAGATAGCTGCACCGGTTATGGCACCGAGTGTGGGTGCCACCAGGTATATCCATATCGACTTGTAATTTCCTGCAGCAACTGCTGGGCCCAGAGTGCGCACAGGATTCATCGAACCACCACTCGATGGCCTGCCACCTCAAAAGAAATTTCATTAATGTCAGATCTTGATTTTGGAGGACTTATTCTATAGCCCTTAATTCTCCCAAGTAAAGAACCAAAATACCACCAGCCGACGCTTGGGAAGTTTTTGGTGGAATTACACGAAAATAAATTATAGATTTTGGTACGAGTGAAATTATACGGAAATCTCTAGTTAAAGAAATGATAAGATTCTGGCACAGCAGATGTGTACTCATGATGGTCCTTGTCTCTGGTTGATGTTACAATGGTTTTACCAATCGGAGCCTTTCCATACTTTTTATACCTTATGACTTACTTTGTTTGTGTTGTTATATCGAGCTAAATAAAATGGAAGAGAGGAAATTACATCGAAAGGTTAAAGCGGGGAGGTGAAGGATTACTAACCCGGCCACAAGAATGTTGAGCATAACAGTAGCTCCGACTGCTATACCAGCCAACTCTCCCACCTGTCAACAATCCCTGGTATTAGAGAGAGAGAGAGAGAGAGCACTAGACATTACAACATTTAAGGACCTACGCCATAATCCACGCCGATTATTAGTGGGCGTCATTCATCTCTCAAAACAAAGCTGCTAAAACAAAAGTTTGACCAATATCACCTCGATAAAGGCAAGGAGTCAATAAGAAAGCATTTTCATTTTCCTGATCAGCCAGAAAGAGTGGATGTATGTATACTAGTAATACTCACTGCACGGGTATCGGTAGCAACGGCAGTAACCACAAACAGGAGGTTAAAGGTTATGAGGAACTCGAGGGCGAAAGCCTGGCCAGTGCTGACGGAAGGAACTGTGGTACCACCTGACATGAAGGGGTGGAAAACACCCTTGAGAGCAAAAGAAGCACAGATGGATCCCGAAACTTGTGCTGCTACGTAGGCCGGCACTTGGACCCATGGGAAATGGCGAAGGGCAGCAAAGGCGATGGTGAGCGATGGGTTGAGGTGAGCTCCAGAAATGTGGCCTGTTGACAGAATCACGATCATAACAGCCAGCCCAGCACATGCGGCATTCCCTATGAGCGTCTCCGCTCCGTGGTACTTTTGGTTCACTATGGGCCCCGCTGTTGCAGCAAATATCAGGATGAAGGTCCCCACGAACTCTGCTCCAAGCTGGGCCAACACCATCACAAATTCTCTATAGTTACTTCATACTATATTGGCTGCGTTTACCATTCCAAATCCTGATATTCTATGCTTTTCCTAATCAATACATCAAGAGTGTGTGTTTATTTCTAATGCTATGCAAGAAGAAAATAATTGTTCAGTAATTATTTACTGCCATTGGCTCGAGTGGCTAGACCAAAACATAACCAGGTTGATAGTCTCTACGCTTTTACTAAGCACAACTTAAATCAAGACAAACTCATGAACTCATATATTTAAGAGCCGTCCCTTATACCCAAAAAAAATTTTTAAAAAAAAAACAGAATAAAAGATGCTGGGGTATGAGGCAGCTTTGGCAACTTGACTAGGGCGGCTTAGGATTGGCTGCCACATGAGAACCCAATTATGTATTGCTGGAGTATCCCTTTATGTATGTCTAGTATCTATGTATAAGCTTCATACTCTGTAAAATAAAATGCTTGAGGATTACTCATAATGAGGCTGTATTCATTTTCCTAATCCGGTTTAGCAGTTTGATTACGTATCTTAATGTGAAAACACGAAATAGAACTAGGCCTACCTCTAGACCAAAAAAAGTAAGAAATGTATTTACTCTTTAATTTTGTTGAGTTTATGATGATAATCACATTATCTATACTACTTTTATTTCTAATCAAATCCAATTGTTCTATGATTGGTATTTTCTTGATTAGTCATGTATTGTCACTATTATCACATGGTGTCACCATCTGATAACAAATTTATAAATGAATAAGTGAAACCCCACTTTTTTTGTATAGAGCGGTTATTTTCTTATATTGACAGAGTAGTTATTAAATTACGTGGTATACATTTGATTACATGTTGAATTATTATTTGATAGTGGCACCAAGTAACAGCGGTAACATTGTCACTATTACATTCAATATTTTCTTCTGAAATATATAGNTAAAACCCCACTTTTTTTGTATAGAGCGGTTATTTTCTTATATTGATAGAGTAGTTATTAAATTACGTGGGATACATTTGATTACATGTTGAATTATTATTTGATAGTGGCACCAAGTAACAGCGGTAACATTGTCACTATTACATTCAATATTTTCTTCTGAAATATATAGAGAGTTTGTTTGGCTGTCATATTGTAAAAATATAGATTATATTAGATAATACAGGTTAATATATTGCATATTATAATTCAGTGTTCGATAAGACATTGGATTAAGATGGTATAATAGAGTAAAAATTACATATTGACCAAAAAATTATCAATCTTGTATAGATATTAATATTTTTGTTTATTTATTGGGTAAAATAATAAATTTACAATTTAATACGCTTGAATTGGACTATAATACCATCTCCCAATGTGATATTATAATCAGCTTAATAGNAGACATTGGATTAAGATGGGATAATAGAGTAAAAATTACACATTGACCAAAAAATTATCAATCTTGTATAGATATTAATATTTTTGTTTATTTATTGGGTAAAATAATAAATTTACAATTTAATACGCTTGAATTGGACTATAATACCATCTCCCAATGTGATATTATAATCAGCTTAATAGTACGGATATAATGTATTATTTAGATAAAAAATGTATTATTTGGATAACAATTTAAAATAAGACTATTATATAATACAAACTATTTTTTGTAGTTAAATATTGTGTAAAATTATATTAGAGAGTATTCATTTGTTATAACTCTATAATCCACCTTTTAATGCTGAAATCAAAGCACCCTAATCGTATTCATTCAATTGGCCAACCCAGTGTCATAGGCGTGGGCTAAATCCCCTCGCCTCCCACCACAAAACAAATTGTCATTATTACCAGTAAGACATCACAATATCACAGCATCCTCCGTCAGGCGCGGGGGCCAACAGTGCGAAAAAATATATATATATAGATTTTAGGCCTCAAATTTTTAAAAGACTCCATAATTTAAGTATATTACTAGCCCATAAAAAAAAATTAAATCTATTAAATTTTAATCCATACAAAAAAACCTCAAAAAATTAAATTCNAAATATATATATAGAATTTAGGCCTCAAATTTTTAAAAGACTCCATAATTTAAGTATATTACTAGCCCATAAAAAAAAAATTAAATCTATTAAATTTTAATCCATACAAAAAAACCTCAAAAAATTAAATTCAATCAAAATTTGTATTACAATAATTTGGACCTATAATTCAATACATAACATTAAAAACTTAAAAATTTTAAAAATTTAAAAAATACTTAAAAGTCAACTCATATTTACTCTCTCTTCCTCTCCCTCTCCCTCTCCCAGATAAAAAAAATTAAAATTAAACATTATCTCTCTATGTGGTAAAAAACAAAAAAAAATTAAAATTTATTTCTCGACAATATTAACACATCCTCTTTTTGTCTCCCTCTCATATAGAAAATTAAAAATAAATTAATTTTTTTTAAAATAATACTAAAAATAAAAAAAAAAACATCCATTTAATATTTCCTATTTAGTTCTTAAATTGGCTTGAGCTGCNAAAAAATTAAAAATAAATTAAATTTTTTTTAAAATAATACTAAAAATAAAAAAAAACATCCATTTAATATTTCCTATTTAGTTCTTAAATTGGCTTGAGCTGCCCTGATCCGCGTATTCCTTGGATCAAAAATTTCATCTAAAAAAGTCTTCTTTTAATTTTGTTTTCTAATATCGGTAAAATGATCAAAAACTAAGATCTATTTGTTAGCGGAACTAACAAAGATATTCTAACCAAATTTTAAGATTAAAATTATGATCCAAATAAATTAACGTATCACATCCACAAAAATCAATAAAATGTTTTTGGACCCGTAAATACTTTTCACCAAGGTAAACAATCTGAGAGAGTGTACCTTGCGGGTGAGAGAGACATCTGGTGCAGGGAAGTTTGTGAGACACGTGTGAGGTGCACCCCACGTAGCGGCATCGAGAGGCAAGCACTTGCATCGGGGCATTGACTTACGATCATAAGATAGTGAGTCCACTCGGAGTGACGAGAAAAGCGGAGCACCTGGCGTGCCTGGGGTCGCCGGTGCCGAGACTGCCGGGGTATCAGCTTCCGAATCTGGCATTTTCCAAAGAAGGCGTTTCTTTTTTTTTTTCTTTTCTTTTTTTTTGGTTTTTTTTTAAAGTGATCGATATAAATTAATGTGAAAAATGTTACATGATTTGGAAAAGTTTTTTAAAGGTATTGCTACACGAGAGTCTGAAAAATGGCCAGATTGAAACGGTAAGGATAAAACAAGAATTTTATGGAAACATTACAGATGTACTGTTTTTCTTTGTTTTTTTTTTTTTTGAACTTTGGAGAGGAATAATTGGATTAAATCAAGTTACATGCTTTGCAAATTTTTATAATAGTGCTGGCTAAGGAAGAGATAAATTGAAGGCAGCCAGCTCCGACCGTACAATCAAGGGAAAATAGCTTCGGCTCCTTGCATGAAAACGAGGCCTTTTATGTTTTTTTCCCCTTCCCTTTTTTGTGTGGATTGAAAATGAGGAATGAAAGCTTTTTTTGTGTGTGTGTGTGTTTTTAATGTGTGCTCAAGGTACAGAGAAGATCGACTGATCCAGTTTCAAAGTACTATTCGAAACTCCGATAGGAATTTAAACAAGACTATTGCAGAATGGACAGACACATCAAACGCAAGATTAATGGAAGCTCAATTGAAGCCTACCTGCATTCGCTGGACGGCAAGAACTGATCGCTCTTGAAAACAGAAAGAAATGTGATGATCAGAAGTGACTTCAAGGCAGCCAGAGATGGTGCATGAATGATACGGTATAAATATAAAAAAAGAGGCCGACTATCTCACGCGAGTGAGAGAGAGAGAGAAAAGTCAATGCCTACCCATCGGGCATCTACTTTACTTAATTTGCTAAAGTTACAGGGACTTACAATGGATATAACACAGCCAGCACTACCAACACTAGATATACTCATTTGTTAGAGCATAAAGGCTTGATGGGTTTCTACAAACTGCCATAGACGCGTTAACAAGATTATCGCTGAACCCACATGATGCCAGCGACAATAACTAAATATATAAATAAATACACATGATGCCAGTGAACAACCTCACTTTTCGTATTTAAATAAATATATAAATAATTCCCCCCCCCCCCCAAAAAAAAAAAGCCAATAATGCATTAAACAAGCACACCACTTCAAGAATATACAAAACACAAAAAATATATACATAATATAAAAGAAAAGAAACTACTTATTGAATAATAAACATGTTCTGTGCATTAGCTTGGGCATTAGGTCGTGTGTCTTAAAGGGGCAAAAAAAATTGTCAATCTTAAACACTTAATAAAATTTTTGTTTCCCACGTTATTTACATTAAAGCTTATCACAGATTTCAACACAAAAGGCAATTGCAAGAAGATCCGAAATATGGCAACCACATTTTTTCTTTCAATGCCAGCATGCTATATGGACCAAAGCAAAAATATGGAAACTTATGATGGGCCACAATAATCAGCAAAAATTAAAGGTGAATCCTCCTAAATAGATTTATAATGACTTAATTTCTAAAAAGAAACTTATTTTGGGATAAGTCCATATTTAAACTTATATGGAGGTAGTTAAGTCCACTCTTTTTTTAAATTTCAAAATTATCCCAAACAGTGTTAATTTTATTCAGTTATAAAAAGTTGTATAGTTTAGATAATTGAGGTATATTTGAAAATCATTGATTGAGTCATATGAAAATCGCTTATTAAATATTATAATAATTAACGAAAATTTTATGTGAAAATTATATATTCTGATAGTTATATATGGTAGCTTAATCTACGAATAAATCGTTGGTCTATTAAGTCAAAATCAGATCACAAATTTTCTTAACAATTCAAAAATTCCTTAACATTAGCGTTACTATAGTGACACTAATGTTATTATAGTGACACGAATAAGATTGTTTTTCTTAAAATACTCAATACTCAAAATGAAGAATTCCATCATTTCAAATAGTAACACAAATTCAACCCCAATTTCAATTTTACTCTTCCAGTTTATTGTGGAATCCATTGAGAAAGTTATAGTTGATTCTTTTCATTCAAAATATTTTCACAACTTTGAGATTCAAAAATAGAGTTAATGTATGTGATTTTACATGAAAGTTGATGTTCATTGCAAAATTTTAAAAAACTTCTACATAATATATAGTTCAAACTGACTTTTTTTTTTNTGATGCCACTTTAGCCTTGAAAACCAAATTTTATAAACCAACCCGCTCCAGATACTACTTTAGATTATTCCACACTAACTTCGATTAACTAGCATAATCACAGAATACTTGACCGCCAAGTTCTCAAGCACTTACGGCTCTTAATTCATCTAAAAGAATCATTTGGGCATGGAATATGTTATTTGATTACCTAATTTGGAAACTTAATGATGTATAACTATTAGATTAATTGTGGGATATATCTAACATTGAAACTAATAATTAATTCAATAGTTGCATTGAAACCACATCATTAGATTCTCAAATTAATCCCCAAATAAAATTTCTATAACATTGCTTTTGGGCATTTGTGGAATGACATTCCATTGGAAAACCTGTAGGCGAAAAATTGGGTCGTCTCATGTGCACTTGCAAGAACAAAATCCAGTGGAGGTCTTTTTCGGAGAGGGCACAATGATGGAAGATCTCAATGATGAAGGATAAAACTCTCTAAGCTTCGGCAGTATCTTCTTTTTTTTTTCCTCCACTTTCGATGGACCTCCTCAAACAACGAAGCAATAATTATTTTATTTCTTTTTGATTGTTCAACGGTTGATACTACGACCCCAACGCAAGAATCCTGGCATGCTCTCCCCCATACCTTTATTATTCCAACAAACAAACTAAAACCAAGGCTCCATGATCCATCCCCGAGTCCTCTCCTACACAATAAAAGTAGATTACAAGCCCCATTTGGAAGCCACGGTTTAATTCATGGAGAAGATAATTAAGAAAATACTTTCTGCCATATTCTTCCACAAAANACAACTAATTCAATAGTTGCATTGAAACCACATCATTAGATTCTCAAATTAAATCCCCAAATAAAATTTCTATAACATTGCTCTTTGGGCATTTGTGGAATGACATTCCATTGGAAAACCTGTAGGCGAAAAATTGGGTCGTCTCATGTGCACTTACAAGAACAAAATCCAGTGGAGGTCTTTTTCGGAGAGGGCACAATGATGGAAGATCTCNATGAAGAATTCCATCATTTCAAATAGTAACACAAATTCAACCCCAATTTCAATTTTACTCTTCCAGTTTATTGTGGAATCCATTGAGAAAGTTATAGTTGATTCTTTTCATTCAAAATATTTTCACAACTTTGAGATTCAAAAATAGAGTTAATGTATGTGATTTTACATGAAAGTTGATGTTCATTGCAAAATTTTAAAAAACTTCTACATAATATATAGTTCAAACTGACTTTTTTTTTTGTTGCATTCTTAATTTAAAAATTGAGATTCATTATTACTAAATTAAAGTGTTATATAATTCGATTTTGTTGTTTTCTTTGTTGTGCAAGATATTCGAAATACCTTAGTTCTATGCCTGTGAAATAAATCATGTTACTGTGTGTTAAATGGAAAATGAATTTCAGAAGTTTNATATTCAAAATACCTTAGTTCTATACCTGTGAAATAAATCATGTTACTGTGTGTTAAATGGAAAATGAATTTCAGAAGTTTGATATCTTGATATTTTTTATTGATGTTGAGTGTCATAATTCAACTGTCAATAGTGTGTTACTACTAAAAATTTAATAAATTTTTAATTTATGGATCGTATTTTTACCATAATCTTTTGAAAATTGATGCTACTGTGAAATCCTATTACCTTGTATTTTGTAAAAGTGGATGTGTTATTGAGTACAAACCTTTGATGGTACTGTAAAAATTAAATGTGTATGTTACATAATATACGTCTAAAGGTTTGCAACGGGTAGTGTAAATAAAAATTGGGATTGAATTTGTATTATTATCTGAAATGGTGGAATTCTTTATTTTGATTATTGCGTATTTTAAGAAAAATAANAAAATCAGATCACAAATTTTCTTAACAATTCAAAAATTCCTTAACATTAGCGTTACTATAGTGACACTAAAGTTATTATAGTGACACGAATAAGATTGTTTTTCTTAAAATACTCAATACTCAAAATGAAGAATTCCATCATTTCAAATAGTAACACAAATTCAACCCCAATTTCAATTTTACTCTTCCAGTTTATTGTGGAATCCATTGAGAAAGTTATAGTTGATTCTTTTCATTCAAAATATTTTCACAACTTTGAGATTCAAAAATAGAGTTAATGTATGTGATTTTACATGAAAGTTGATGTTCATTGCAAAATTTTAAAAAACTTCTACATAATATATAGTTCAAACTGACTTTTTTTTTTGTTGCATTCTTAATTTAAAAATTGAGATTCATTATTACTAAATTAAAGTGTTATATAATTCGATTTTGTTGTTTTCTTTGTTGTGCAAGATATTCAAAATACCTTAGTTCTATACCTGTGAAATAAATCATGTTACTGTGTGTTAAATGGAAAATGAATTTCAGAAGTTTGATATCTTGATATTTTTTATTGATGTTGAGTGTCATAATTCAACTGTCAATAGTGTGTTACTACTAAAAATTTAATAAATTTTTAATTTATGGATCGTATTTTTACCATAATCTTTTGAAAATTGATGCTACTGTGAAATCCTATTACCTTGTATTTTGTAAAAGTGGATGTGTTATTGAGTACAAACCTTTGATGGTACTGTAAAAATTAAATGTGTATGTTACATAATATACGTCTAAAGGTTTGCAACGGGTAGTGTAAATAAAAATTGGGATTGAATTTGTATTATTATCTGAAATGGTGGAATTCTTTATTTTGATTATTGCGTATTTTAAGAAAAATAATCACATTCGTATCACTATAGTAAAATTAGTGTCATTCTATAGTGACACTAATGTTAAGAAAATTTTAAATTGTTAAGGAAATTTTGTGATATGATTTTGACTTAATAGATCAACGATTTATTCGTAAATCAAGCTTTCATATATAACTATTAGAATATATAATTTACATATAAAACTTCCG